CGGGCCACCACGGTGCACGCGGTGAGGGACACGGAGCTGGCCAAGCTGCCCGAGGGGACCCTCAACAACATCAAGCGCCGATACCCACAGGTACCCCCGGGGGTCCCTCAGGGGTGTCCTCGTGTCCCCATGGCCTGGCTGGTGGCTGTGACTCTAATTAAAACCAACTTCAGTTAAGGAGTTAATGAAGGTGTTGGAGGAGGAGAGTGGAGGAAGGGGTGGTAGCACCTGAGGTCTCCAAGGACAGGCAGTGGTGGTGGCACCTAAAGACTGCTGTAGAACACTCTGGAGTGTTGAGTCTCTGCCACGTCTGATGGCCATCCTTGTCCTTGTCCCCGCAGGTGGTCACCCGCCTCATCCACCTCCTGAGCCAGAAGATCTTGGGGAACCTCCAGCAGCTCCGCGGGCCCTTCGCAGGTAGGACCTGGGGACAACAGGGTGGCCTCTGCGGGGCTGGTGGCTGTCACCAGAGCAGTGTGTCCACTCCTCTGTGTCCACCCAGGGCCTGGCCTGGGCATGACCTCCAGCTCGGAGCCCATCAACCCCACCAGCAACCTGTCCACGGTGGCTGTGCTGCCTGTGTGTGACGAGGTGCCCATGGCGGCCTTCACGCTGGAGCTGCAGCATGCGCTTAATGCCATCGGTGAGTGACCATGGGAAACTGACCATGGCAGTGACCATCGGGTTGTGGCACCCTGGTGACCTGGGATGGTGATGGTCGCAGCCCCACAGGATGGTCTTGGCTGTGGTGGGCACCATGAGAGTGATGATGGCATGGTGGCAGCCATGGCGCGGTGACCAAAACTTGATGGTGTGATGGTGACTGCAGCATGGTGGTGACTATAGCCCCATGGCGTGGTGACCACAGCACGATAGTGACCATGGCATGGTGGTGACCATGGCCTGGAGATGACCACATCCCCACCTCCGCAGGCCCCACGCTGCTCCTCACCAGCGACATCATCCGCGCCCGCCTGGGCTCCTCAGCTCTGGAGAGGTAACGAGGCTGGTCAGCAGTGTGGCCACGTCCCCCAGGCCACCGCTGACCACTCTGTGCCCCCGGGCAGCATCCAGGAGTACCGTCTGTCTGGCTGGCTGGCGCAGCAGGAGGACCTGCACCGCATCGTGCTCTACCAGACCGACTGCACGCTGACCCCCTGGACGCTGCGCTGCATCCGCCAGGCCGACTGCGTGCTCATCGTGGGGCTGGGTGACCAGGAGCCGGCCCTGGGAGAGGTGGGACAGGGACAGGGACATGGGGGATGACCAGGAGCCAGCCCTGGGAGAGGTGGGACAGAGACAGGGACATGGCAGTGGGACACAGGAACATGGGATATTGGGACAGGGGGACATGGGGACACATGGGGACACATGGGGACACATGGGGACATGTCCCATCTCTGGGGGTGTCCCAGTGCTCAGNTCCCACCCTGAATCCCACCCCAAATCCCATCCTAAATCCCACCCAAATGCCCCCCCAAATCCCCCCCCAGGTGTCCCAGGAGCCCAAGGAGCGCAAGTCGGTGACGCTGGAGGAGCAGCCCTCGGGGGTCTACCACTACAGCTCCTATGAGGAGGACACAGCCTCAGGGACAGGGATGGGGCCATGTCCCTTCGGGCCCTACCAGAGCCGCCAGACCAGCGACATCTTCGAGGAGGCCAAGCGGGAGCTCATCAAGCTCATGAAGATCGAGGTGAGGGCTTTGATGGGTTCCTGGTGGGCTCCTGGTGGTCCCCTGCGGTGGTGTTAGTCACCTTTATGGTGGTCCCCCATCACGTTGGGGTGGTCCCCATGACTTCAGGGTGGTCCCCAATCATCGCTCTGTGGTGGGTTCCCATCTCCTCATGGTGGCCTCCATGGCCTCCTGGTCATTTTCTGTCCCCGTGGCATCCTGGCCATCCCATCCCCTCATGGTGACCCCACAATGGTCCTGTTCTCCTTTCCAGGACCCTTCTCTCCTCAACAACCGCGTCCTGCTCCACCATGCCAAGGGCGGCACGGTCATCGCCCGCCAGGGTGACCAGGTGGGTGCTGGGGACTCTCACCTTGTGGTGGGGCAGAACAACCCCAGAACCAGAAGAACACGCCATGGTGGTGCTGGTGGGACCTCCCAGGTGACAGGGGACATCTCTGGCAGGACGTGAGCCTGCACTTTGTGCTCTGGGGGTGCCTGCACGTGTACCAGCGCATGATCGACAAGGAGGAGGACGTGTGCCTGTTCGTGACACATCCTGGAGAGCTGGTGGGACAGCTGGCTGTGCTCACTGGAGAACCCCTCATCTTCACCATCAAGGCCAACCGTGACTGCACCTTCCTCAAGATCTCCAAGTCTGACTTCTACGAGTGAGTCCATGTCCTTTGGTGTCCTTGGGGAGCCACCAGGACCTGGTGTGGGTGCGTCCCCATCATCTTGTGGTGGATCTCCATTGCTTTGCGGTGCTCGCTGTGACCTTGGGGATCCCACATCTCTTTGGGGTGGTTCTCCACCACTTTGGGGTGGTCCCAAATCTCTTTGGGATGGTTACACCACCAGAACATCTCCTCAGTGAATGTTCCCAGCCCCAGGGTGGAATTTTGGAATGTCCTGAGCAAGGCCACCATGATCCTGGTAGTTCCCCTCCTCCCTGGGGTTCTCTGTGGGGTTCCCCACCTCAGAGGGGACATTTTGGGGTCCCCACGGTGCCCTGTCCCCCCCCAGGATCATGCGGGAGCAGCCCAGCGTGGTGCTGAGCGTAGCCCACACCGTGGCCGCCCGCATGTCGCCCTTCGTGCGCCAGATGGACTTTGCCATCGACTGGATGGCCGTGGAGGCCGGCCGGGCACTCTACAGGTGAGTGACCACTTCCAGGCGTCCACCTGGGCTTGGGGAGGGCCACCAGGGGTGCCACAGGCGCTGCTGTCCCCAGGCAGGGGGACAAGTCGGACTGCACCTACATCGTGCTCAACGGGCGGCTGCGCTCGGTCATCCAGAAGGGCAGCGGCAAGAAGGAGCTGGTGGGCGAGTACGGCCGCGGTGACCTCGTGGGTGTGGTGAGTGTCACCCTGGGGACACCCTGGGGACAGT